TATACTTAATCTTATAAGTATAATCATATTTACTAAGCTTTAGTAAATCATGACGAATATCTTTGTCACTTTTGTGGTGGACTTGATCAACACACAACCTAGTGTACTTGATCTCCTAGTCCTTCAATTGACACTTTGTCAAAGAATTAATCTAAGTTTCCCAAACGTGAAAGTTTTTCATTCATCATACAATACACATTGCATGATTCCAAGTTTCTGCCAATTGAAACTTGGGTGATGAGAAACTCTCCCTATATGGTAAACTTTTGATATTTCCACAAATAATATAATTAAGAATCAAATCCATTATTGCTAATAATAGAAACCTTCAAACATCAATTTTTCATACATGCCATTGCAAGGATAAATAAATAAGATAAAATCAAAATTCATTTTATTGCGGAAAAAAATTTGTCCTTACAATGCAATTCAATTGAAAAAACTATGTTATTACATATTTCTTAACAATCTATTCTAACTCCAAGTAGTAGCTCAAGAATCCATTCTTCAAGTAATGCGATCGAAATCCATTTCTTCATGATTAGATTCAGCTCACTTCTTTTCTCAAGCTTCCTCTCTTTTCTTCGATCCTACAAAACATCAAAATGTAATCTTATCACATCATGTATTAAGAATCTAGAATAGGAACTCAAAAGAGTTAGATAATGGATCTTACCTGTAGTAGAGCCATACGTCTTGACTCTCCCATCTCTTAGATCTTTCAGGTAGTTAGGGCAGCTTCGTCTCCAATGCCCCTTCTCTTGGCAATAAAAGCAAATGGACTCCTTTGGCACAGCACATCGGACAATCACAGACTTAGTTCTTTCTGGACTTCCAATGTTGCCAGTGTCCATTAAAGTTTGGGAGTTTGATTCACTAGACAAATTTGCTTGACCAGCACGCCAAATCATTGCTGATTCAGCAGCTATAAGCAAATAGGTGAGATCAATTAGGGTCACGTCGTGGTCCATCATATAGTACTCTCTAACGAACTCACTATATGATTTAGGAAGTGACTGAAGAACCCAGTCAACAGCCAACTCGCTTGAAATCTCGACACCCAACATGCTTAACCTATCAATGTGTGACTTCATCTCTAAGACGTGTGCACACACAGGTTTCCCATCTTCGTGTTTACTCGCCAAAAGGTATTGAGTGAGCTTGAACTTTTCAAGCCTTTGAACTTGTGGGTCAGGGAGAATAATTGGAGGAGGTGGAGGAAGTAAAGCGTGACTCTCATTTCCTTGATCGTATCTCGGAACATCATCTTCATTTGGAAAGCTTATTCCAAAGGATTTGGGAAGACCATTGTAAGATTCAGACATCTACAAAACGGGAGAAAATTCAAGTTATGTTGATTAGAATTCTTGATGTAACACCCAAATGAAACATCAAGCTAGGATCCAACACAATACTCTACAACCTAGAAGAGGGATGCCGTAATCTAGTTGCAGAATATCTGAAGGTAGGTAAATGACGATTTACCAATTTCCACCATGAAAAACGAAAAAGAAGTTTAAGTTTTAAATGAATGAAACTCCTAGATCTTTTGAGATTCATTGAACTTTTCAATGGCATGTTTAATCTCGATTATGCCCTACTATTTGTGACTGGGATGCCGAGGATCACAAACAAGGTGTGAATAACCATACGAATCACGTGGTGCGCCCAATGCTACTATCACCTAATCAATGTGCCGGTTAGCCACACACGCTCCATTGATCTATGATAAGCATCGAGCCACCCTTCGCCACCAATGTCATCCCCAAATTAGTGTGCCGGTTAACCACACACGCTCCACTAACGTTTGACAAGGGTACGAAGTGTAATTCCATGGGTTAGCATACAATTTCACATTTTTCCTAAAGTAACTATGATTTGGGAATTTGTAAAAGCATTTAGTTACTTTGTACTTCATTATACTTATAATGGAAGGTTTCTGTCCTATCCTACCCGTTCGGCTAACGACCCTCCACTAGTCAAGAGTGCGGTGGGTAAGAGTGGATACCCATTCAATCGCCATTTTATAGGCAATTTCCTTAAACACCCCTTATAGACCAGCTTCGTGAATGAGGCCTACTAACGGTAAGACTGACTGTTTACTCATACATATATATAATATTAGACTTTTAATGTTATATATAGTATAGGGTGTATTTTACACTTTTAAAATACTAGGTGGTTTAACTTAGTAAATTATGCTTTTAATTTAATTAAATGTGAACCAAAACTTTATGGGTTTATTAAATCACTTTTAATTATACACTTTAATTAATTAATAAAACCATAAGGGTGTGATTTGAACTTTTCAAATTACTAGGGTTTTAGAATTTAACATTTCAAAATTAAACTTTTAATCAAAATTTTAAATTCCTAAACTTGAGGGCAAGTTTTGAAACATTTCAAAACATTAGGGATCAAACAACAAATAATTCAAATTAAACAATTAATTTCATAATTATCTATATTTGACCTAATCTTATTTTAGTCATTAGATAATTACCAAATAACTTTAAATAATCCATATTTATCACATAAACAACCAATATTTAAAATATTTGAAATTATCTATTGTTTTGGCAAGGATAAACATATAATTAAGATAAAATTCGGATTTTAACTTCATAAAACAATTTAAGCATCAAATCCAAGTCAAAACAGCAGCTAAATCCCGAAATACCCTCTGCCTGACGCACTGACTCGCCGAGTCAGACCTGGACTCGCCGAGTAGGGCCAACTCGCCGAGTCCAGATACTGACTCGCCGAGTTGAGTCGAGCAGAGGCAAGAAACTCGATTTTCAGTAAATAATTCAACATAGCATCACATACAACAGAAACCAATCAAGGCTCTGATACCACTGATGGGTTTTTAGCATAAGAACAATCCTATGTGCTCATACAAACCCTAATGCTTGGATCTAGGTTTCTCTATTGTACATGCTTTGAATCCAAGACTAATAAACTTAGATCTAACATATTATGAACTGAATTAGGGTTTATATAATTACCTTTGATTGTTATATAGCAATAACAATCAATTCCTTGCTTGGATTGGCTTCAAAAGCTTAGTGCCTCAAGTGTTGCACCTCTAATGGAGTCACAAACACCATATGCAACTTGGATGAAGAGGAGAAGAAGAGAGGCTGCCCAAAAACGACTAGAAACCCTAGAGAATTAGTTGTCCACGTTTTTGGAGCCTAAGGGGTCCTTTATATACTTGTGTGGGCTGCTAGGGTTTCAGTCAAAACCCTAATGGACAGCTTAAACTCTAAGCAGCCCATGGAACCTTCTGGATAAGGCTATGGACGAAAATATGATGGGCTTCCATCATAATTTCGTTCACCCCTTATTCCTTTAGTATTCCTTAGCCCAATAACTCAATTATCCAATAATTGCAATCCAGTCCCCTGAATTTAATTAATCTCTTTTAGCCACAAAAATTAATTATCAATTAATTCTTGACTAATATTAATTAAACAATATGATTTCTCCTTTAATATATTATTCTCATAATATATTAATAAATCATATTTAAACCTTTCTCTCCTTAAATCATCCTACATATTGCTATGGTGAAGGCAACCCAAAAGGACCATGCTCATAATCGGGTCAAGTACATACCAAAATAGTTATGGACTTAGACACTAATCCAACATATATTTCTCATAATTTTAATCGTCATGGTTTTATTTCTGAGCAACGCACGGGTTTTCGTCTAATAATTAAATAAGAGACAACTAGTAAAATACAAATACATATGAGCACCATTTAATTAATAGCAATCAAGTAGCCTTCTTTGATATTTTATTTTTTATGTATTTGTACTCACTTGAAAAGTATATGAAATCCAAATGCCCTATTTTTAACTACTATAAGTAATTAAAATATATTAATTAACAATAGACTACAAATTGATCAAATAGAACACTCTTAGGGATCAAATATGGCATTATATTTCATCATCAATACTTATGATGACAATACAATGAGTGAGAAGACAGACGGATAACAAACTACATCATTAAACCTTTTCAGATGATAAAGTCAATTCTTTTAAGAATTACATCTATGGATCTACTGGATATAAAATGTCATCCTAGAAACTACAATGAAAAGCTTATAATATTGAAAAACACTGTCGCGAAGGCATGATGTCATAAACTAAACCTTTTCGGATGATAAAGTCAATTATTTTAAGAATTTCATTCATAGATCTACTGGATATAAAATATCATCCTAGAAACTACAACTAAAATGTTATAATATTAAAAAACACTATCAAGAGTGCATGATGTCATAAACTTACAAGATGATCGATTAAACTTGAAATTACAACACACGTACACATTTGAAAGTGAAAACGATGATTTGTCATGATGTCGTGAACTTCCAAGGTAATTAAACTTGAAATTGCAACACAAGTACATTTGAAAGAGAAAATTATGATGAAATGGAGTAGCATATAACTTAAGACTTTAACTACTAAAAAAACAAAACAAAGAACCTTTGAGTGGCATGAACTTGAAAACACATCTATGAAACACTCAACTTTATTGTTTGCGAGCAATGCATTTAAAAACATCTAACTTCAAGAATTATATCCTAATCAATATTTTGGATACTTATTTTCGATATTTTTAGGTAGTTGAATGTATTTAAAAATATCTAACTTCAAGAATTATATCCTAATCAATCTTTTGGATACTAATTTTCGATATTTTTATGTAGTTCGACTATTTGAAAATCCAAAATATATAGCTTTTATCCTATAGTTTTGTGGTTATTCAACAATTTAAATAAACAGATATACTTAATGAAGGTATATTATGATCGGAAAATATTATGAAACATACATAATCTGATCGAAATCGAAGTGCTCAAAACTTATAAGAATAATCTATTTTTTCTGAATTGCATAAAAGTATTTTATCTAATTTTTTTTACAAGAAACCAGTTAAAAGAGAATGTTACAACTTGACATATAGTTCAGGGACCATTGTTGTTAATACACAAACATGCTTTATTTGTGCAACGGATGAGCAAATTAGGGCAAAATTACTTGAAAAACACTCCCATCCTCCTATTCGAGGCTACACACAGAGAGAAAAATAAGGAGTGAGCGAGAAAGATGGGGTGGATCGGGGAGCAAATCGATTCGGTGAAATCTATGCAGTTCAGGCAGCTCCTCACGCAAGCAGTTAGCCTTGGTTCATGATTCTTCTTTCTAAAATTCATTTTCATTTCTTAAGTTAGAAATTGAATAAGTTACATTGTCGTTTGCTTCACTTCGTTAGTGGAATTTCCTTTGATCTATGCGATTCAACGCAAATTTGATATCAATTTCTAGATCTTCATTAGTTCTTCAAATTAGGGCATTTTTTTCAACAATTGAATTGTAAAGCGTCTATTAAATATTTAGATGTATGTGCATTTACACATCCTTATTGGATCTTGTTGCGGGATGAAACGTTTGGTTCCTCTTTAGCACCGTTCTAGAATCAATTTTGAAGTATGAGATAGTTTTGCATCTGTCACTGCTACACGATCGACGCATGTAGTCTTTTGTCACCATGCATTCCTTTTGTTGTTATAGAGTGTTTGGAATGCAAAAAGAATTGCCATTGATGATTACCTATAACTATCATAAATCAGTGTTGTAGCAACCTAACATATGTACAGCTTTTATATATTTTTTTTAATTCTTGGATCACGATGATATCCTGAATGTTGGGTCTTTCATTATCTTCTCCAGGTATGATTGTTACATCAGCATTAATAATATGGAAAGGGCTGATGTGCATAACTGGAAGTGAATCACCTGTTGTTGTTGTGCTTTCTGGAAGTATGGAACCTGGTTTCAAAAGAGTAAGTGACACAAGTAAATAACTTGTTGGCATGTAAATATGTTCTACTTCTAACTTTTTCAAATGTCTTGTAGGGTGATATTCTGTTTCTCCATATGAGTAAGGAACCAATTCGTGCTGGAGAAATCGTGGTGTTCAATGTTGATGTATGCTTCTTAATTATGTCACTTTTTGTTATTTATGTAACTCTAGTAGAACCTATCTTTCAGTTACTGATTCAATAGTATCTTGAAAGCATACAATTTACAACCTGACTTAACTATCTCTTGTTGGTTATATACAGGGACGTGAAATTCCAATAGTACATCGAGTTATTAAGGTATGTGTAATTGTGTATGCAATCATATTGATGATCTCCAATGATATTTCTGAATGTAATATCTAACTACTAATATATATTTTATGTAGGTTCATGAACGTGAAGGTAGTGGAGAAGTTGATGTCCTCACAAAAGGTACTTTGTAGTTTGTATATTCTACTCATAAGTATTGATTTTACAGTTGCAAGTATTACAAGCAAAGTGTCATTTAATCAATCCGAATCACACTACTTGCTTATCAACTTATCATCCAGTGGCAATTCTGTAATTTCAGGAGACAACAATTTTGGAGATGATAGGCTTCTGTATGCTGAAGGCCAGATGTGGTTGCAAAGACATCATATTATGGGGAGAGCTGTTGGGTAAATATAAAACTTTTAACTTTTTGTTTACTCAACCCCAAATACTTAAAACCTTTGTAAAATACATGAATTTGGTGCTTTTTGCAGGTTTTTGCCTTATGTGGGTTGGGTGACAATTATAATGACAGAACAGCCCATCATCAAGGTTCGATTTAATACATGGATCTGTTTATTTTGGCATTCTTTTTGGAGTGTAAACAAGATTTTTACTGATTTATTTATTTATTTATTTATTTATTTTGTATGCAGTATATTCTAATAGGTGCTCTGGGGCTGCTTGTAATAACTTCTAAAGAGTAGTAGCAAATGGTTAATGGTTGTTTGACCATGTTTGTAGACCAGTACTTTTTATGATTTGTGGACAGATATAGCTTCGATATAAACTATTTTACCCTATTACAACTAAGGGGGTGATTGTTGATTCAACTCATACAACGATATGCTTCTAGAATCCTTCAAATTATAAACAGAATCAAAGTTTCAGATAAAACTTAATTTGTTTTGATTTTTTGTTTAAATTTATTATCTTATACTAAAAGGAGACAATTTATAACATGTTTCGACTTTCTATTGATCAAAAGTCATAGCTCCAATAACGATGGTTCATTTCATGAAATAAAAACGCCAATGTGGACTCAAATATTTTGTTACATGTTTCCACTTTTAAAGATCCTGATATAAATTTTGGAATTTTTATACTATGGCTGTTGTGATTTGAACTTTAACTGATTATGGATGTGTGACATTGCTGATTCTGATTCAAATATGGGAGAGCATTGGTAAATGAATAGTCAAGTATAATGAGAACTCAAATATTTTATGAAAATCCAAGAAATCGATCATGGCCTTGGGATTAAACTCATCTAACGGCCGTGATTTGTAGGGACCCGTCATTTTATAGCACTCTAACCATTTTGTAAGCGTCTATAAATCACCACCATCAGATGAGAACCATTTTGTAAGCGTCTATAAATCACCACCATTAGATGAGAGTTTGGATGATATTGATCCAAGGGCCGTGACAAGTCCTCTACTTGTGAATGATAAAATGTTTTGATTAAGGTTATGTTTGGGCGTACTAACTGAAAAGTTAAATGTTAGTTGAAAAACTAGTTGATAAAAGATAACTAATAGTTGAAAAACTTGCCGATGAAAAATAATGTTTGTTAAAATTATTTGAGATATATAAAATTAAATAAAATGATATTTAAGAGAATGTGTTTTTGGATTAATTAATTAATGAGTATATTTTGAAAATTTTAAAAAACTTATAAAAAACTAATCTAAGTAGATTTTTAAAAAACTAGCTTATAATTTACTTTTTAACTTGCTAAACACGACAACATAAACAAAAATCAAACTCAGCCTAAAATGTTATAAGAATTTGAAAAAGGATTACAAGTAAAGAAAAAATGCTTATGAAAAATAAATGCATCACTTAACAATTTATCTCATGACTTGCTTTTGAGGGACCTAAACTGAGTAAGAATAAATCGATCTGGACCAATAATACGAAAAATAAGAATTCAATGGACTAAACTTACCGTTGATATATAGTCTAGGGACCAAATTTGTAGTTTACTCAAACAATAAATCATCCCCCTATAACTTGGAATGATTCTTTATGATTGGATTCGGAGGCAAGGCGTTTAATTTTCCGGAGTGCTTATGATCAGATGGAGAGAGTGATCTCTTTCCTGATGATCTGAATCCGAGGAACGGAATCCTCCTCAAATTGGAAATCTGTGTATTTCTGATGGATTTCATGGATTCTTCCACCACCTCCACCACAACTATTCCACGCCCACCGCCACCGCCAGCGCCAGCGGCATCGTCTGAATCATCCCTTCTTCTATCCGACTCCACTCTCCAAAATGCTTCCTCACAGGTACTCTCTGCCTCATATTATTACAATGCAATTGATGACATAGATCAATCCTTTTTCTCATCATTTCGAATTTTGATGCGGGTTACATATTCGATAATTCTTTGTTTTCGTTTATTTATATTGCATTTAGTCCATGAGGAGGAAAGTTGTGCAACATTCATTGTAATCGTTGTTATCATCTATTCGTGTTTATTAATTGAAACATAAATTCGATGATACATGAGGAATCTTCAACAACAGTTGTATTCTAAGTTTGTTCTTCAATTACCTTCTCCAGCTGCTTACCCTAATCTACTTTTATTCTTCATCATTCTTCTATAATTACTACTTATATACATTTTCGTTTGCTTATCAATTTGCACCTTTTGTAGGAAGATCATTATGTAGCATCCATAACAGAAGAACATGAAGTAACCTGCTGGGGATGTGGATTATGCCTTATTCTTTCACCCTATACTCCCATTTTCAAGTGTGGTTGGTGTGGAGCCATATCCGATCACAAAGCAATCAAAAAGGACAACAAGTACATTTGGTGGATACGTTTGAGAGACAGATGTCTTCTCTGTGTTCTCATACTATTCATGTTCTTCATTATAGGTAAAACTCCATAGTCCATACCCTTAACTCATTACTTTACTTACAAACTAATCTGATTACACACAGGTGGTGGTATCTGGGCTATATATCCTGTAATCTTCTCTAAAAGTTACCTTTTTGGCATACTCCATATGACTCTAGCAGTTCTTTTATCAATCACCACAATTACCACTTTTGCCCTTTCTGCATTCCGGTCTCCTGGTACACCCCCTCTCATCCCCTGGGGTAGCTACCCTGCAGTTGGAAAAAATGGTCTTGCAGGTTACACCTTTTGTAAATACTGTTCAAAGCCAAAATCCCCTAATTCTCACCATTGTCGATCTTGTGGCATGTGTGTGTTAGACATGGATCATCATTGTCCCTTTGTAAGTTTCATCTTAATCCACATACATACATACATACATACATACATACATACATGAGGTGTTACTGAATGATTAAAATTACAGATTGGGAATTGTGTGGGAGCTGGAAATCACCGTGTGTTCATCTATTTCTTGATCTCATCAGTGATAAGTAGTTTCTATGTCTCTCTGATATCTTCATTCACTGCTTTTTGTATATTGCCACCAGGGAGACACATACCTATGGCTGCTTTGAGTGGGCCCGGTGACTACATGTTGATTGTCACATGGGTTAAGGAAGTTGGGTTTTCGTTTTATGAGTCTGTGGAGTCGTTATCAGTGAGGGGTATTGTTGTCATTTATCTTTGTGTTGCAAGTGTTGCAGTGGAAATAGGGTTGAGTGTGCTTTTGTGGCAGCAGTTGTCTTACATTTATCAAGGGAAAACGTATTTAAGTCTTTTGAGTTCTCGTGGGACAAATCGAACGAGTAAAAAAGATTGTCAGAATTTTGTGAGGTTCTTTGGGTGCCCCTATTCAGCGACTAGATGTCTGTTAGGTTCTTGGAATTCTAGAAAGATTCACAAGAAGTGATCACTTGATATGATGTAAAAGTACAAAAGTTTTTGACTGATGAAAGAGATGAGTTATTCATGCTAGAACGACTCATGCATTTAATAATCTATATATACATTGCATTTGAATTACTAAGTTATTGTTGTAAAGTAAACAATACAAGGTATATTATACTTAAATATTAACATACATACATTACTAATGTATAATATAATTTATAAAAAAGTAAATATTTATTATACAATATGTTATATAATTATTATTATTATATAGTAATATATATAATGCAACATTACTTTCAATATCTTGATTCTTGAATGGAATCACTTGCAAAGCTCATGGTTGCCCTAAGTTGTAATGTTTGATAAAGATAACGAATAAAAAGGAGAATACATGAGTTTCAAACATGGACCATAACCCAGTCGCTTATGAAAAGGCAGTTGCTCCAACTATATATCAGTTAAGAAAAATAGTAAATTGAAAAGAAAAGAAAACGAGTTATAAATGGGTGGTAAACCGTTGGTTTAAACAATTTTGATTCATTGTTGTAGTTTGTGTAATTGTGTAACAGAAAGAAAATTGTGAAATGATGTAAAGAATGATATATTTGCATGTATTTATAGGTTTAAAAAATAAGTAAAATAATTTATTTTAGAAAACTTAATTTTCAACCGTCAAAGTGACTAAAAGTGATTGTTGTCTTCTTTTCCACCAACGCCTCTATGTTGCATTTTGGACAAAAATTGACGAGTGGTGGGCCTGGGGAGGCATTCTTGGTGTGGCCACAACGTCGTGGAGGTGCCACCTAAGCTCCCTCCATGGCGTTTAGAGGTAGCCTTAAAGCAATGACGAAGCTATGTGGTTCCAGAGGGTTCCGGGCCACTACTCCGTTTCAGCCTATCAATGTAAAACAAATGGTTTTTTCTATTAAGATGTAACGATTATAATATAAGTGTAACTACTATTTTATTTTTGCCACTAGTACCGAAAGATTTTGCATCCACAGTTGCCTTGAAGAATCAATAGGTTCTCTAATTATGATATCGACACTTTACATCCCTTAAGGGTGGATGGTATGGCAAGAAAGATGGGAGGTATCATCGATATCTCCAAGATGAAGATTCTAAGTAGTAGGAGGTATCATGGTTTGTTTTCCAAGAAGCTAAACTCTCTCTCTCTCTCTCTCTCTCTCTCTCTCTCTCTCTCTCTCATTTTTCTATGTTTTGATTACTTGTACATCATCCATAAAAGCTTGTACCAAACATGTTTGTATATGTTTAATTTGTTTGTGAATTAATTTGTATTTATTTTAAAATAAAAAGGTTAAAGGTGTTGAGAACAATGTTGTAAAACTCGCCGAGTTTGTCGATTACTCTTCCGAGTACTCCCTACTAGGCTCTTACCAAGGCGAGTTACAAAATTCGGGTATTCCTCGATCGGCCAACTCGGTGATTATTATGTATAATATACTTAATGATTTATTATTTAACACACACATGTAATTATTACTATATATATTTTTTAAATTTTCAATTATTATTACGAAATGAGACAATTATGTGTTTTTCATTTTTTGTATATTCATATGTATCTAATTTTGTTATACATTTCAACCAACTTATAGTTTTAACTTATCATTTTAACATATATAATTTCTCTAAAAATATTTTTACATGAATTATCGAATCCGAATACTACCGATTACTTGTTACTCGGTAGTCGGCCGAACAAATACCAAGTAACGAGTTCTACGACCAGAGTTGAAAAGAAGAGTTTTCATTTGTGGAGGCGGAAGAAAAAAAAAATAACTATAAAATGGGTTGTAAAACCGATGACTTTCCATTTTCTATTCGAAAACCAAAAAATGTCACATTTTTATTTTCCTTAATTTTTTTAAATATGTTTTATATCAATATTATATTTTTTGTAAAGAATAAAAAACCATAAATTTTAATATATATTTTATAATTGTTTAGTATATATATATATATAATTTAATTAACTATTATAATAAAAAATAAAAAAATAATAATAAAAATAAAAATAAATAAAAAAGGAAAAAATAATATTTTCTAACCATTGGCCAATCAAAGATAAACTTCAGCAAACAGCATCCACACCTTCGAGGCCTAATTCATGGTGCAAATCCTTTTCTGAACTCAGTGGTGGGTCAAATTAACATTTAAATGGACCAAAAGATCCATTACCGAATCCAAATTACACCAAGATCCACAAGAAAATTAACACCTAAAACCAACAAGAAGAAAACAACTACATCTGAAACAAGAACTTGAACCCACATGAAAACAACACAAAAACAATCTCAAACCCTAATCTACTCCGCCTGCTCAACCTCCGCATACGGTGTCTCCAACTGAGCCTTCTCAGCCTCCTGAACCTCCTTCTCAGTCTTCTTACCTTTCTTACACTTGTAATACACACTCATGAAAGTCCCCACAGCTCCATACTTATTCCTACACTGCTCATACAGCCCTGCATCAAACATCCTCCAGAACTTCTTCTCATCAAGCTCAGAAACCGCGTATTGTGGCTGGAACCCATGGTTTTCAATCAACCAGCTCTCTAATCGGCTAACTGCATCAACCCCATCAAACACCTCACCCCTGAACACTGATGCTGGTGTGTAGTAGACTCCAATATCTGTGTACATTTGGGCATATGGGGTGTCACCTTGTCTGCGTTCTTGTTCGAACCCTGGCTCTGGGTATATCATTGTCTTGCATGGGAGCTTGTAGAGTCTGTGTGGGCACAGCCATAAGGGGTACACCTGTAAGGTTTGTTTATGGTGATTGTTAGTTAGATACCCTTTGAAAGTTAACAATCTTTTTGGTGAAGATAATAATCTTTTTGTAGAAAGTAACAATCTTTTAGGAAATTTACAGTATTTTTTGTATAAATCAACAATCTTTTTGTAAAAAAGTTGACATTCTTATGTAGAAATGACAATCTTTTGGTGAACAATAACAATCTTTCTGTAAAAGGGAGGATCTTTTGTCAAAATCAGCAATCTTTTTGAGAAAAATAATAATCTATTAGTGAAAAAGAACAATCTTTTTGTAGAAAGTAACAATCTTTATGTAAAAGTTAACAATCTTTTGGTGAAAATAACAATCTTTTTGTGTAAATTAACAATCTTTTGGTGAAAAATAACAAACTTTTTGTATAAATTAACAATCTTTTTGAGAAAAACAACAATCTTTTTGGAAAAATAAATAATCTTTTTGAGAAAAACAACAATCTTTTTGGAAAAATAAATAATCTTTTTGAGAAAAACAACAATCTTTTTGAGAAAAGCAACAATCTTGTTTATAAATTAACAATCTTTTTGTAAAAAAGATGTGTATTTGTACCTCCATCTCACGATCAACCCACTCAAGGGCATCAGGAACCTTGTAAAGAGGAACAAGCATATCTTGAATAACATGCATCTCATGATAATAATTCCTTATAGCTTCACCTTGTGTAGCCTTAAGAAGAGAAACCTTTGGTGGCATCAACCATCCAAGAGAATATCTAAACCACCATTGATCTGCAAACGGAAGAATAAGCTTCCCTTCCCAATACAAACACCTCGTGTGCCTATGATAATACTCTCTAGTCGGAATATACTCCACAAACTCCCCTTTCTTAAGTGCAGTTTGAGCATGCTGATAAAACCATGGCTTAAACCACCACCCAACACTATTAATCTTATTCCCTTTCATCTTTGCCTCTTCTTTAGACGCGTATACACCCGTCATACAAACGCCCTCATGTGGATTATAAATCATGGTTTCCACAAAGTCGGGAACCATTTCATTGTCCTCGTCACCAAACCCAGGGGCAAAAGAGTCAATATACCCTTTTGCGAGATCTCTCACGTTGCCTCTAACGGGTTTATACGTCAACTTCATGTACTCTTTAATCGGGATAAGTTTGATTTCAGCAGACATGAGAAACCCAAGAGTCCCTTGAGACCATGGAATTGCATAAAAAAGATCAGAATACTCATTATCTTTTGTTGCCCTAACAACTTTCCCATCTGCAAGACAAATCTCATATGCCACAACAGTATCAGAGAAAAGACCATATAAATGAGAGCTTCCTTCAATCCCATACCCGTTTATAAGCCCACCAACTGTCAAATCATCCAGCTCAGCAACAACAGCAAGTGCAAGATTCATGGGGACAGTAGCACGTGTGATTTGACCCATGTTGACCAAAGGCTCACATTTTGCAATCATTCTTTCTTGATCTATTTCAAGAATGTTGCGGAAAGCAGAAAGGTCAACTTCAAAATGTCTAGCACGTTTATAGTCAACATTCCTCATTCCAACTGCAATCCATGGCTTTCTTGCTGTGCATACAAGCCCATCTTTTGATGGGTTTCTTTCTTGGAGACGTTTCACAACTTTCTTGACATTTTCTTCGTGTTCTTCTTGGCGTTTCTTGTAGGACTTCCAATTGGATCTTACATCTCCAAGATATGTGAGGAAGTAGAGAGTGAAAGAGATTGGGAGGACAACAAAGATGACAAGAATCCATCTAAATTGAACAAAATAATCCACCCATACTTTCTTCCTCTTGGGGCGCACTAATGGGGCCTCAAGATCCGCCATTTCAGGAGATGATGATCAACTGTAACATTAAAATAATCAAATGTTTCGTTTAGATCATCATAAAGAGCACAAGAATGGAAAAAAAATTTACTACAATGTTTCAATTTGTTACCAATCTATGCAATACAGTTGATTTCTTACCAATGTATGCATAACTTGGTATATTTTTAGTCACGAATTGAAACATGAGTGAGTAAATTGGTAAGAGATCCGAGAATAAGAATGCTGCTTCATGTTATGTAATGAAATGGATACAGATAACAATGAAAATTAAATAAAATAGTATATGCAATAAATTGGTTTACTTTTAGTAATAAATTGAAACATGACTGTAATAATAAGAATAGAAATAGCAATGATTCAAAATAAATTGGAACAATAAATACTGTACGGCAATATGAGATTTTAAAGCATTTCAGGAAACAGGATAAATATCTTTATAAGATTTCCCTTCTCACTCATCCACCCAAAAACATTCAAACAAATACTTCCAAAATCAAT